CATCAGTCTCTGTGCTGACAGCTCAGACCCTGGCACCTGCTTCAGATTCTGTGTCTTCTCTGTCTGCCTTTCCCCTGCTCATGCTCTGTCTCTCTCTTTCTCTCTCAAAAATAAATAAGCATTTAAAAAAAGAATGAAATCTTACCCTTTATGACAACATAAAGGATGGACCTACAGGGTCAAAGAAGTCAAAGAAGCCAGACAGAAAAAGACAAATACCATATGATTTTACTTACATGTGGAATCTAAAAAAAAAGAACAAACAAAAAAACCAGAAACAGGCTCATAAATACAGAGAACAAACTGGTGTTGCCAGTGGGGAGGAGGCAATGGGTATGGATGAAATAGGTGAATGGGATTAAGAGGTACAAACTTCCAGTTATTTTTTAAAATAAACAAGCCATGGGGATAAAAAGCACAGGATGGAGAAAATAGTCAATAATATTGTAGTAATTTTGTAAAGTGACAGGTGGTAACTATACTTATCATCATGAGCATTTTGACTCACTATCTTGTACACATGAAACTAATATAATATTGTATGTCAACTATACTTTAAAAAAAAAAAAACGAAAACCAAAAGAAATAACATGCACTCAAAAGACCTGAAGTCTAATGGTTTATAGAATAAACCTAGATCTAATCACAGATTGGATTAAATGACAGTGTATGAAGTCATTTGGATACTTTTTTATCCTCCACTCCCTCTCCCAAATCCCTTTTCAAGGGTCATTTTGTTTTGTTCCAAAGATTTTCTACTTCCTGCAGAAGAGGGGTTCAACCCAAGTCACAAACCCCTCTAGTCTTCAAAAGCCCTCTAAAGGCACCTGGGTGACTCAGTTGGTTAAACATTGGACTCTTGGTTTCCGCTCATGGTTTGTGAGTTCAAGTTCCACATCAGGCTATGGAGCCTGATTGGGATTCTCTCTGTCTCCCTCTCCCTCTGCCCCTCCCCTGCTTGTGCTCTCTCTCTCTCTCTTTCTCTCTCAAAATAAATAAATAAACTTAAAAAAAAAAACCCTCTCTCCTATTACCTCTTCCAGGAAGCATATCTGTATTTAGTTTCTTAACCTCTGCAGCACTTGAAATCTATACTACACAATTTAATACTTAATTCATCAAACTCTTAACCTCTGTTGCTTCATGTAAGCTAGTTTATGCTCCACAATAATGCCATAAATATCCTTCTTGACCTCCCTCAGGACACTTAGCATTAGCCTGAGCCTGTAATTGGGTCTCAGCAAAGACATGCTGGAGATACTTGTTCTAGAAACAAAATCAGGGGTTTCCATTATTTTTTGCATAACTGGCTAGAAAATAGAGTGCTCAGACACAGCCATAAAAAAAAACAAAAACCCAGCATCCTGGGGAGCAGCTACCAAAGACATCACATGTATTCACAGGTCATTGAACCACAGAGTGTCAGAGCTGAAAGGAATCTTAATCATTTACTCCCAAACATTTAAACTGGGGTATGTATACTTCTAAGGGTCCATGGCAGTGTGCCAGTGGGTCCACAAAGCCACAGGATAAATGGCATTCTCCCTTAGAGTGTCAATTTTACTAGAATGTAAGAAATTTAAAATATTTCTATATTAAAACAAATATGATATCATAGAGGAAAATGCAAGCTTTGCATGCATTTTTAAGATAAAACATTAGACCTCAAAGACCTTTCAAGCTTGAAGTAGGCTACTTTGGGTTATCCCATTCAACCCTCTCCCTACCCATGCTGGAGATTTCATTTCCCCTCTCCTTTGTCCTTAGGGCTACTTCAGTTAAAAAGTAAAAGTTTGAGGAGACTGATCTAGTCCAGCCCCCTCTTTTCACGATTAGGAAAATTGAGGTCCACAGATGAGAAATAATTTGGCCAAAGCCCAAGATAGTAAGTTAAGCAAGAGCTAGGACCACAATATACCCCCATCAGAATGTACATTTTTTCCTAGTGACTTGCTCCAGTAGTTACTGACTGTGAACTACACTTCTCACTACTCCTTGCTACCTCTGTTCTGCCCCCATGTACCGTTCAGCATTTTTTTTTTACTATGCCAAGGGTTATACAACCTATCCTTAGGGAAGCCCGTGGCACCAGCAGTTCTGAGAGCAGGTCAGAAACTTTAGACTCTTTCTGTAGCTTCAAACACAGTAAATGATGCAGAATTTCCCAGAAATCAGAGTGTAACTCTGATGAGATTTAAACCCCTCACAGAAACGGAATAAAGTTCCCAGTTTTCGAGAGAGAGGAAGGAAAGCAAGGAGGCAGAAAGCAAAGAGCTGATCTTAAGATCCTGCTTTTTCCCTACATTTATGTGAGAAAGAGATGCTAAAAGGCTACCTCAGCAAGGCTCCAAGGAAACTGGGACTTCAGAGAAGCCTGCCAAGTGGCTTCCCTATCTCATGAGGTAAATCTTTCATCAGGTTGTGGGATTAAAATAATCATCTCAGGTTAAAAAAAAAGGAGTGACTTTGGGTTCAAATGAACTTAGCTTCACAACCATCATATATATTCCTTGGGCAAATAAGTAGGAACTGCCTATAGATTCACATACTTTCATCCACTTATTCACACCTTAAACACACAACTCTTGCTCTTACATAGACATATGCAAATTCTTCTGCACAGTGTCACAAACACAAATCTAAGAACACATTTGTGTTGGGAAAACCAATACAATCATAGTTTCTGCCCACACTTCTCCCCCAACACCGAGCTCTGAACCACCACTGATATTCACATTCACCGTCACACATACCAGGTTGAGAAGTGACCCAGGTTGCCAAGGGTTAGAGCCACTTCCACGGTGTCCCATTCCTCTCAAAGAACTAACAGATCATTTCACAAAGATGTCATCACCTGCCAACTAATGGCAAGTTACAGCCAGAATAAATGGTTCATTACCCACCTCTGTTTCAGGTAGGCCCATGGGAGAATAACAGCAGACACAAAGGAGACTTGAGACGACTCTCACTGCAGGAGACTGACCAGACAAGTAAGATGGGGGCTTGTTCCAGGCAAAGACATTTCCTTTCTTCTTTGGACCCTAGAGTTGGGGTGGGGAAATCAGACTGTAGTCTGACTTATTGCAGACTTCTCAAAGTCAGCTGTAAATCACCTAAGGGGAAGAAAGACTGATCTTTTAGCCTGGGCTTTCCTTGTCTAGAAGAAGATTGGGTCACATCATAACACTGTCTCTTTTGAACAAGGTCCCAACACTTTTCAAAGTAGTGTAGTGACTAACAGCATGAACTCTGAAGCCACTCTCCAGGGTCTGAATTTCAGCCCCAGATGACCTTAAGGCAAGTTACTTAATTTTTCTAGCCCTCAGTTTTGCTGGCTGTTAAAAATTGGAATAATAATAGCATCTACCTAGTGGTAGTGTGATGTAAATATGAGGTACTTTTAAATATTTAAACTTTAAATAAATAAAATAAATTTAAATATTTACACTTTTTAAATTTATTTAAACTTTTAAATAAGCAGGCACTTAGAATGCTCAATATATGGAATTTACAAAGAGCAATTTCCTCTTTTTCTTGGACCACCACTTTCACATTATCTGCCTGCCCACAGAGAAGTGACAGTTTGGTTACCTCATTTCAGAGACAGGCCTCTAAAACCCAAAGAGAACAAGACTGGCCCAATATCACAGAGAAAGAATAATAGAATTGGAACTGATTGCTTTGGGTTTACTCAGCCGGTGTTCTCACCTCTCCTTGAGGAAAAATTGAACATGGCTTGAGGAAACCTGGGGAGGAAATATGACTAGGGCCAAGCAGGATGTAAATAATACTAGTAACAATAACCACTTAATATGTGCCAGGCACAGTTTGAAGGACATTCTGTGTATTATTTCATTTAAACTTCACAGCAACCCTATGAGGTCATGACTATCATCATCATCATCATCACCATCATCATCATCATCCAGAAGGAAGAAACTGAGGCTTCAACTCCTAGAATGGCTTTAAGCTGGGATTTGAATCTAGACAGTCTAACACCAGAGATGAAGTATGCAACTGCTGCACTATACTGCTGTCCAAAGGACAAAGGAGCAATATAAGTTATTTTTTTAATTTTTAAATGTTTATTTAGTTTTGAGAGAGAGAGGGAAGACAGAAGACTCAAGGCAGGCTCTCTGCTGACATCTGAGAGCCCGATGTAGGGCTTGAACTCACGAACTGCAAGATCATGACCTGAGCTGAAGTTTGAAACTCAACTGACTGAGCCACTTGGGCACCCCTAAGTTCTTTTTGAAGTAAATAGACTGAGGCAGTATAATGTTAGGGTTAGGTCCTAACTTAAAAATCAACAGTTTAAGTGCAACCTCTGCTACTAATTATTGAATATCTTTGGGCCTAGCTTCCTTGGCTGTCAAATGGAAATAAAACTATTTCTTAGAGCTGTAATAAACCTTAGGGAGATAATGCATGTAAAGCATCCAGGGCAATGCTTAACCCAAGGTAAATATTCAGTAAATAGGAGCAATTGATGTTATTAACTATGTTCCTTGCAGGATTTGCCTAGCAATACAGCTCCCCATGCCCCTTCTCAAGGAAAATAAATTAGAAAGGAGAAAACACTTATAAGTTGTAGAGAAAATTAAGAACAGGGCCGAGCAACAATTCCAGATACTCCTTCCCACCTCCTGGGTGTGTGGGGGGCTGGGGTGGGAGGGAGGTGAGTACTAGCCTTATTAACATCACCATCTCCTTCTTCAAGGAACAGATCCCAGCAGGCTTCCCCCAGCTTATAGCCTGAGTGAGAATGCTGTTTTTTCTTAAAGAGTTTTTTTTTTTTTTCTGTCCTTTTTAAGTAGGTTGCTTTATTTTTCATATCAACCCTATGAGATATCGGAAAAGGAGGATGGAATGTCAGATGTGTTGAGTGTCTTCTATGTGCCAGACAGAATGCTGGACACTTTCCATCAGTGATTTCATTTCATCCTGACAATACCACTGTGAAGTTACCCTCACTTTAAAAGTGTTGCCCTGAGATCTTTGAGCTCGCCGAGTAGACACCATGAGCAAAGCGCATCCTCCTGAGTTGAAAAAATTTATGGACAAGAAATTATCATTGAAATTAAATGGTGGCAGACATGTCCAAGGAATATTGCGGGGATTCGATCCCTTTATGAATCTGGTGATAGATGAATGTGTGGAGATGGCAACTAGTGGGCAACAGAACAATATTGGAGTCGTGGTAATTCGAGGAAACAGCATCATCATGTTAGAAGCCTTGGAACGAGTATAAATGATGGATGTGTTCACCTGAAGAAACCAACTGCTTCCACATGTCCCCTCCATAGTACCTGTTTTACTACAGTATAAAAATCAGGTCGTGCATTTTCATATTGAACTTTTTTGTTAAATAAACTTTTTTAATAGTCAAAATATGCTTTCTCAAACATTGTGAACATGGAAAATTGAATGTTAGCTCTTATTCTAGTTTTTCTAACACGAACTGTTTCTGGTTGAGACTGAATTGTTTAAGTTTTTATGCATTAATATTGAAGAATTTGATTAAATGTAACAAACTCATGGCTAGGATGGCTTTTTTTCATCTTTTAATGGAAAGATAACCTGCAAACCTGAGCAGATTTCTTCTGAAACATTAACTGTAATTTTCAAAACTCTTGTAGTAGTTTTGATGTACTCTGACTTTTCCAAGTACATCTACATTCCAAGTATAGTGCAGTTGAAGTAAAACACAGGAATTAACAATACAGTTGTTTATTTTGAACATAAACGGGGAAAATTTTTGAATACAAGAATAGAAATAGAACTCTAGAGAAAAACAAAAAACAAAAAACAAACAACAACAACAAAAAAAAGTGTTGTCCTGAATCCAGTGAAGGTTGCTTCTTTTCTTATGTACATTTTCCTTTTATCCCACATATCCAGCACAACCCTGGCCAGAGGTTGTGTCCTCTTGAGGATTTTCTATAAACCAAAATATTCTGAAATCTCTCTGTCCTCAACACACTGATCTTTGGTTATCCCAAAGCTCATAAATTGAGAGTAACTTGTCCCCAGTGGATCTGAGATCAAATTATGATTCTGCTTATTAGCTGTATGACTCTGTGCTAGTCACCTAACCTCACCTCTAAAATAGAGATTCAGCACCTCTTACTCCAAAAGGTTGTGAAAATTATGTAACTTTCATAAAAGTGCTGTCAATCGGGACACTTCATGGAAACATTGTTTTAAACAGAATAGGAATAGAATGTCTAGAGGGCATATAGAATAGAAGGGCAATAGAATGCCTATATCCCTGACCTTCTATCAGGTAGGACTCCAGCTATGCAACTGTGGTTGGTGACTTTGAGAATATTGAGGGGACAAAGAATGCAGAAATTCCCTGAAGTGATTGTTGAGGAAATGGCCTTTCACCATTATCAACATGTGATTTATATCATCATTGAGACATCTAAATCCTTTACAATCACATACCGTTCAAAGTTTCACCTGTATTGTTTCATGTGACATTCACTAAAACTCCCAGGAATTAGTCTTTATCATTTAAATTGTCCTACTCGCTTTGTTACTCGTTTCCCCTACCTGGAAGTGGCCCATCTGAATTTGCAAAAGCCTTCCCATCTTCCCTTCAAGGCCCATCCATTATGAAGGCCATACTTTGGCCAAGAATCCAGCCCTAAACTCCCAATATCAGTCTTCTTTCTGCTTTCTGAATTCACACAGGACTGTACCTTACACTACCCTGGATTCTAGTCATTTATATACGTGTCTTAACCTCTGCCCCTCTGCCCTACCTTCTCACTAAATCCACAAACTCTTCAAAGGGAAGAATGAAGAAGGAAGGAATGATTTATTTGTTTTATGTCAGTCGCGCTTTAAAAAGCTATTTATGGGGCGCCTGGGTGGCTTAGTCGGTTAAGCGTCCGACTTTCGCTTAGGTCATGATCTCGCAGTTCGTGGGTTCGAGCCCTGCGTCGGGCTCTGTGCTGACTGCCAGCTCAGAGCCTGGAGTCTGTTTCAGAGTCTGTGTCTCCCTCTCTCTCTGACCCTCCCCTGCTCACGTTATCTCTCTTTCTCTCTCCTAGAAATAAAAATATTTTTAAAAATAAAAAGCTTTTTATTATGAAAGATTTCACGTGTGTTTATATATAAAATAAAGGGAATTTATAATGAACACCCATGTACCCATCACCCAGCTTCAACAATTATTGCATCTATACCTCCACTCCTTCTGCCTTCTCACTCTGGATTAAAGTAAATCCCAGATAGCCCGTCATTTCACCCATAAATACTCCAATAGGGACACCATCTTTTGCATTTCTGTGTCCCTTACAACAGAAAGATCATTTTCATCTGTTATCTTCACTACTGGGAGCACATCAGAAGATAATTTCTGAGCACCTACTATGTGCCAGACCTTGTGCTTGGCTCGGGAGGTTCTGTCTGAGCAAAGAGGGCACACCAGAACCTAGCCACGATGTTCCAAACCAAGAATTGCTACAGTTCCAGACAGTGAACATGAGGTGTACGTGGAGCCCAGGATCAGGAATCAAACTGCACTAACTGAATTGAATGGAATTGGTTTTCTCTCAGGGAGACCGAGAGTTCTAACTGTCCATGGGACATGGGTTCTCCAGCAGGAGGCGCTGCAAAGGCGGACGTGCGTTGGAGGTCTCCTGCGGGGAACTGGGAAGACAGCTAGAGCCCGCTGAGGGTGCAAACTGCAAGCAACAATGCAGTTTAATAGACCAGCAGAACGCTGAGCGTCAGGGCCCAAGTCGGGCATCAGGGTTCAGGTGTGGGGCAGGGACACGGGGCGCTGGACAGGTTGGGCACCTGCCACCAGGTCTTCTCCATGTGGCCGGTTGCCGTTGACTGCTGCCAGTTCCTGCTCCAACTGTCTCTCTTCCTGATAGAATATCTCTGAACAGGGGACAGCAGAGAGCAAGGAAACACCTGTTTCCAACAATAAAAGAGGTGGGGGAAAGCCCCCACCAGGCTTCCAATGGCCTCTCATCGGGTTTGCTCTTGAGAGCCTTGTAAAAGAGCTCCCAGAAAGCCAATGCAGATCATTTTTCAAAAAGATCACTTTCTATTTCTTACTCCCCCTACTTTTCCTAAACTGTAAACGTCCCTTTAAAAAAAAAAAAAAAGAATTCTTTCCTCCATGGGGTTTCCTGCTCCTCCCAGACCCCTTAAAGACCCTGGCTTGGTGCCCGCAGGGACCGCTACTACCCCCATTCCCAAATTTTGCAAGTTCACTCGCTTCCGTGTTTTTCACTTCCTCAGCCCCCGCCTACCTACAGGTGGGGAGTGGGACTGGGGATGGGCAACAGAACAAAGAAACCAGGGAACCCCTGTCCCAGGCCAGGCGCCCATTCTGCAGTTTTCGACCAGCCGATGAACAAGAAGGGGTAAGGAACGCATGAACCCCCAGCGCGGGTCTCAAGCCACTTTCCAAAGGCGAGAGACCAGAGGACTCGTGGGAGGTGGGAAATGCCCCCACGCAGCTGACAGATCTCCACGCCACAGGCCTGAGTGGTCGTGGGCGCCAACAGCCTCAACGCACTGGGCTCCGTTATTTCATCAGCAGTTTCAGAAAAACCTGCCAAAAGCAGTTATGCCTCACTGCAATGTGTAGCTTTTTCCTGCCCTTTTTTTTTTCATAATAAAAGAGGGAGTGAAGCTTGCTAGCTCTCTCCTCCCTCACCCCCTCCCTTCCAAAAGAGCCAAATGGATACAAGGGGGGGGACCCACACACCAATCTCCGAGGGGATGCCAGTGAGGTGTGGCTTGTATTTAAATATCCAATATGTCAATGTAAGGGGAGTGGGTATGTATATAAAGTGCCGTTTGCATCTGATAGCTCGACGAAGCAAGCTATAAGAGGCCTAGGGAGATGGATGCGTAGGGGAAGCGCCACTTTGACTGAGAGCAAGGTCAGGAGCTCGTTGCCCCACCGCTGAGAAGTTCCTTGGACGCGAACAGACGTCGACTGCAGCTAGGCAGAGCGCAGAGCGAGTGAGGGAGCGAACGAGCGCTGCCGAGTCGCCAGCGCTCGCTGAGGGGAGAGGTAGTTCGCGCCCCGCGGCCCCAGCTCGGCCCAGCGCACCCCGCCATGGCGGAGGTGGGGGGGGTCTTCGCCTCCTTGGACTGGGATCTGCACGGCTTCTCCTCGTCTCTAGGGAACGTGCCCTTAGCTGACTCCCCGGGTTTCCTGAACGAGCGCCTAGGCCAGATCGAGGGGAAGCTGCAGCGCGGCTCGCCCACAGACTTCGCCCACCTGAAGGGGATCCTGAGGCGCCGCCAGCTGTACTGCCGCACCGGCTTCCACTTGGAGATCTTCCCCAATGGCACCGTGCACGGCACCCGCCACGACCACAGCCGTTTCGGTGAGGACGCGGCCGGGAGGGACGGGAAGCGAGGGGACGGCTCTCTGGAGAGCCGACCGCTCGGGTCTCTGGTTTAGGACCCGCCGGCCGCCCCTAGGCCGGTGCCGTCAGGGTCCGTCGAGGCAGGAGACCGCCAGGGACGCGGGGCAGGCGGGATCGAATGGTGTAAACTTGAGCAGCGTGGCGTCAGGGCGCCTGGCACCCTCAGACGCTCTAGGAAGGAGGCGGGGGCGCCTTGAGGTGCGGCCTCTCTCTTCCCCCACTCCACCCTTCTTCCCTCCCCCATAGCGAGGGGATCATTCTGACAACGCTGAGTTTAGGATGAAAGCAGGTGGAGCTGGAGGAGGGTAGGAGCACCAGCAGAGGCCAGGGACCGTGGCTGTAGCGCGGGGTAGAGCCTCGAGCGCAGCAGGGTTGTCGCGGCCGGCTGTCTGGAGCTGAAGCCTTGGCGGGCTATGGACGTGGTGGGTGGGCGGTCCGTGCCAGAGTGGCTTGTGGCTGACAGGGACTCAGCAGCCATGGCACCTGCCTGCCTCTGCCTTGTTCTGACTGCGGTGGAGGCCAATTCCGGGAGCAAGACATGAACTGGGTGTTGGAGAAACTGGGAACCCTCCCTCTGTCCACTGTGTAAGGGCACAGCCCTAGGTCAGCTTTTGCCTAGATATACCTCTGGACTCCTTGCCTCACAGGGAGGAAATGGTCCTCGGCCCAGTCCTGGGCTCATTCTCAGCCCCAGAAACGGGTGTCTCCTGGGCCCAGGACAGGAAATGTACAACCTCCATCCAGGATTTTCTCTGCCCAACACCCCGCAGATTGTTTAAAGGGAACAGATGCCTGTCTGACATACAAACATAATTAGTATAAACCTTGATGTGGGATGGAGATCATTAGGTTTCGAGATAAATGTGTTCATTCCTCAGTAATCTGGCCATTTTTTATTTTCAATTTCCTATTCTCTATTAAACCGTAATTCAGGTGCTGTGACAGCTACCTTTACTTGGGACCCCCAACCCCCAGTGCCCTATGGAACCTATGGCCCAAGGACGCCTTCTATCCCTAAGCCAGCAAGAGGCTTTGCCTACCCTCAGGCATGATACCTATTCCCTTGTTTATCCTACCGGCCCCCATTCTCCCCAAACCTTCCCATACTCTTATTCCCCTGCCTTGCTAGAGCTGCATCTGGAGTGCACAGCAAAAGGAGAGAGGGTAGGCACAGAGGCCAGTTTCTGGGCAAGGCCAAGTCTAGCAAAAAACTTGGGGTTGGGGTTGGTCTTCCTTGCTGAAAGCAAGGAGGAACCCTAATGAGATCTATGTCATCTTGGAAAAAAGGCACTCACAGAGCTGGAGTAAAGTGGGTTGTGTGTGGGGCGGGAGTAATGGAGGGATGCAGGTGCCTGTATAAACTTGCAACAGGTCCTCAAAAGGGTGATAGGTGGGGTCAGGGATGAGAGAGTATTAACTTGGCTCCTTTCCCTTCCATCACTTGTGACTTTGCAGTTCCCTTTTGTTCCTCTTTAGAAGGAATGAGACTCCTACTCTGGCGTCAGAACCTCCCAAAGCCTCCCAGAAATGGCCTAAAGATATTAGGGTAGCCCATTCTTGATATATAAAAAGAGAAATAATGAAATGATGGAGAAATGTAGGGTGGGGGGCAACAGAGGTGGAGAAACTGTGACCTTGGCTTTCAGCAGTTAGTGTTTGTCTGACTCTGTGCCTAAGCTGAGCCCAATAACCTACAAGGTCAACATAAATTAGTAATAGGCTCTTGGGATAAGTGGTCTTTAATTACCTCCCTAAGGACACATCTTGATTTCTTTTCATCTCTCAAGCCTGTTAATCGTAAGTTTCAGGAGAAACCAAAGGAAATAAAACTGGCAGGAGGAAGGGATGTTTTCATTGCTGCTTAACTGACTGCTTCATTTTTGGTTTTGCCTTTTAAAATAACACTGCCTGAGACCACCTCTGCACCACCTTTTCCCTTTCCTCCTTCCCTGGCTTCCTGACAGTTCCATGTATTTCCTGTAAAGGAAATGATAACTAGTCAAAGCTGTCTCTTTGTAACCTCCGCTGCCAATTTTCAAACACACATTTACTCTTTCTCAGTTTAGCTTTTGGCAAAGAAAGAGGTGGCGTTTGAGTTTGCTCAGTCTCCTCCCTCCACATTTGAGTTAATCAGCCAGGGTATTCAATAAATCGAAACTTTAACATTCCATAAGTGCTTTAGCAGTCAACATTCCAGCAGGGTAAAGTAGGCCAGACTTAAGATATAAAATATTATAGATTTCTGCTTGGGGGGAGGAGGTAGTCTCCAAAGGCTATGTAAAGTAAATAGCTATTTGTTGTAATTGGAGAGCAGGGCCCCCAAGGATTACCCTGGAATCCATGTGTTCAGAATGAGTCAGGCTGAGCCCAAGAGCAGCCACGACTCCAAATAATAACCTGTTGGCATAGCCTATAGGCCCCCCTCCCCCACTCCATTCTGCAATCAGTAGTCAGGAGTATTTCAATCTCTGCTTGTTTGGTGGTATTTACATGAGGTTCACAGGGATACTGAAATTCCTGAGGGACACCTGTGGACTGGCAGAGCAGAGCTTGGGAGCCAGACTGGAGGAGAGACCTCCCACCAGGTGTGATAGAGCAGGCTAATGCAGCTGGTTCGGTTTTTGAGCAATCTGGTTCTTATTTGTCAAGATGTCAAAGCAGCACTGTCTTGGCCCTGAAGGTCTGAAAGGATGGCTGAGGGAGCTCAGGCAAATCATGGAACCAGATTCAATGACACATTAGCCAACCATCTAGTAGGTTCTGAAGTGGTGAAGCTCAGGACAGATCTGTTTTAACTGAGGCCATGGGGGAAAATATGTAAGAAGAGCCTGGAAATTATCAAGAAAAGGCCAGAGGCTGAGATGGTCAGGTCAAGATGAGGCAGAGTAGAGGGAGGTCCTGGACCTTGAAGGGGGTGAGAGTACTGAAGACAAACATTGCCTACTTAATACTTCGCCTCAACACTTCGCTGTTAACACCCCTCTCCAAATGTAACTGGGAAAATGTGAAAATGGCTTGTTTTCTCTCTCCCTTCATGCTGGCTGGGATTCAGGAGGTTTAGGAATATCTGTTCCATCATCATGTGCCACTGGGTTCCCATGGTTTTAATCCAGCTAATAGGAAAATTGGCAATGAAAATGATGCCCAAAGACAGCTGGGCAGGGATGATTCCAGCTGTTGGAGACCCCTGTTACTGGACAGAACCCAAGTGACTTCCTGTATGATCTGTCCTTTGGCATTAGGGTTAACAGAGTTGGAGAAAAACTGGTGACTCAAATGGCCACGCCTCTTGGGTTTCATGATTTGTTCTCACACCAGGTCTTGGACGGTGAGATCACAAGCTGCCCTCTGCTACTTAATGAGCTCAGGGTGGTCAGAAACATGAGATACTTAGAGAATGAGGGAACTAAGACTCAGAAGTAATCTGTCTAAGCAAAGCAAATAACTGAAGGCTCCAGCAGGTTGGTATCCCTCAAAGTTTAGCACACAGAACTGAATCATGACCTGGTTTCTTGTTTCCTTACCATACTGGCCACTCTCCTTTGAACACACTCCTGTTTTTCCATAGACCTCTTTAAACACAGTAGAACTAAAAACAGTACACTCAGTGTCGTCTACGGCAGAACAGAGCGGGGCTGTCTCGTCTCTAATGCCAGTCACTAGACCTCTATCAGTGCAACCTTAGATCACACTAGCTTTTTCTTTTTCACATTAGCTTTTTGATAAATTTTAATTTTTACATGACTAGTCTTACATTATCTTTTTACATTATTATGAACTAATACATATTAGTTTTACATTATCATGAATTACCCATACTGATCTTATTACCTTGTTCAGTCAAATCCCTTAGCCATTGTTGTATAAGTTTTGCTAAGCCGCATCTCCCCATTCCAAAGGTGGACTGACTTGTATTTAATGAAAATGCATAGAAACACAAAAGAATATAACATGTTTTCAAGAAAATATACCTGATAGCCTGAAGTATGGAGGGGGGTGGAAGCAGAGTATGGAAATAAAAAGAAATAGATAAATTTCTTTATAGAAAGAAATATAAATAAAAAGAAATAGAAAAGGCCCTTTCACGGACTAATTATGATAATAGGCAATAAGGTAAGGAGTATGATTAACTCAACTGCTGCACTTGTGGCTCACCATTCCCCAACAAAACCCCAAACACAAAACACCTTGAGTAATCAGTTTGGGGACCAAAGTGCAGGACTTTACATTTATTCTAATTAATGCTTGTTTTGTTGGAGCCAGTGCATTTTTCCATCCCCTTGAAATCTCTTCGTATTTTGATTGTGTCACCTTCTCGGCTATACATCTTCTGGAAGTAGGGTAAGCAGTTTCCCTATGTCCTCTTACAAGTCATGTATTAAAATGTTAAACAAGGCAGAACCAAAATCAGACACTTGTGCAATGCATCTAAAGGTTTTAATCCATTAAATCGCTTCCTCCTTAACCCCTTCTTGACACCAGCTATTTGCCCTTCTCCTCCAACCATCTTGTATCAATGTCTTTTCCCAAAACTCCTTTCTTGTTCTGTAAGAGTTAGTAACAACCTAATTGATAATAAAATGTAAAGGATTTCAAAATTAGTGTGCCTGGGGGACTCAGTTGGTTGAGCATCTGACTCTTGATTTTGGCTCAGGTCATGATCCCAGGGTTGTGGAATGGAGCCCCACATGAGGCTCCATGCTGAGTATGGAGCCTGCTTAATATTCTGTCTATCTGTCTGTCTGTCTCTCTGTCTCTCTCTCTATCTCTCTCTCTGTGTTGGCAGTCAAGGCTACACTCTGGGTGTTCTATACAACAGCAGCAGAACTTTTTACATTCTTCAAATAGATCCAAGTGGGCCATGGAAACATGTGCCCTAAAGCTGCAACAGCTGCGCACCCATCCAGCAATCCAAATCACTGGGGCTTTTCAGGATACTTCCCACTGGAGTCTTGAATCTGATTTCAAAATTAACCACTTAATTTTTAAAGTAATCTTTAAGGAATCATTTCCACCTCCTATGTAGATTACATAGGATATTATTACCCTTAAGAATTGCATTTTTGGATAAGAAAAACAGCCAGAATGAGCTCATTTCATACCTTTGGATGTCTCTATGAGTAAATCATATAACATTTTGGTCTGTACATTGAAAAATATGGTTAGAGACAGAAACCTCAAAGAGGAATCTAGTTGACGATTATGTTTGTATCTATAGAACAACAGATTGTGCTATCTTCGGACAAGATTTTAAAGTCTTCACCATCATCAGGATTTCAGTTCTGGGTCCCTTTTCCCTCTTAGAAGTTGATTTCTTTTTTCCTCCTACTGCTGCTGGGTAAATGAAAACATTTTCAAATCCTCACCTCTAATCTTGTCAGCTAGAAGGATGTTTCTGAATGTCTTCCAAACTTTCCCCTTAAAGTTGCAATATCTCAAATCAGTATCAAGTCAGTACTACCTGCCAACTCTTGGCCATGGATAAACTTAAAATTCTAAAGAGAGAAGGATAAAATGGCAGACTTGTCAGCCTCGGGCTGCACTGGCTAAGAGCATTTTATAGAAGGCTCTCACCGGGCCATATTTTTGCCTTCTGCCATAGGCAACAAAAACAGACTTAGTGAGTAGCCTGTGTGGCCTTTGTTAGAGTCAAGTACAGGCAGTTGACAGCCTCATGTGGCTTTAAAGACATGGGAGCTAAGAGGGTGCAAAATGAATTCAGCCTAGAGGACAACGAGGTGATGCTGTGTGCTCTAGAGAGCAGGGAAGTGACTTTAGGAACATACAGAAATCTAGCCACATTCTTCTATTAAGAAAGCTACCCTCCCATTTCTTTAAATGTTGAAATTTAACAGCAATAGTACCTTGTAATTATGGAGCTTTTGTAGCCAAAGCCTTCTCATGGTCTCTTCCTCATAAAATGTCTAAGAGTGTTGAGTAAGAGATTGTTCCACCCACCTTACATATGGAAAAACTGAGGCCCAGAGACACTCAGTATCTTTTCTGAGGTTCCATTCTTGCTGCACAAGATGGTTTCATAGGGTAAGTCACTAAAGGCATACAGGGCTGGCTTCCAGTTGAGTATAGATGACTGGTAGCTCATGTCACCTGAATAGCTTTCTCTTGGCTTGATGTCAGTAATGGACATGGTGTTTGCTTTTTTGCTCTAGGAATCCTGGAGTTTATCAGCCTGGCTGTGGGGTTGATCAGCATCCGGGGAGTGGATTCTGGCCTATACTTAGGAATGAACGAGCGAGGAGAACTATATGGGTCGGTAAGTTTAAGGTTTTATTTTCATCAGAGGCTATTACCACCAGTGTTTGGGCTATGTAAGGCAAAAGTATAAAAACATTTATCTAGCACTTGAAATACTTCTGTCAACTGTGAAGGATTAGTGTCTTCTAGTTGCTTCTTGGCTGCTCTGGAGCTTGCTATATAACACTTTCACTCATTCAGTTCCCATCAAAACATAAGCTTTTCTGTGGTACATTTGCTTTTACCTTTTCCATTAGATGGCCAGCTAGTCTGATGATATATTAAGCTGTGCTGGTTTGTCAATAAGTGGTAAGGGTGTGGGGCATTTATTGCCCTGAAGAGCACCTCTGAACTTTAGAGGAGTAGCAGACTAGCTGGCACAAAAATAGGCAGTGGAAGAACTGCCCTTCAGATTGAGATTCTGAGATTAAAAACACAGTCCCTGATTTCCAGACTGGTTAAGCTGAATCCCAGAGGCATGAAACAAATGAAGAGTGAGGGTTCCAAGGTCTAGAGACAGCCTTAAGTCCCCAGCTAGGACAGGGTTGGCTGTAGTACATGTTCTCTATTCGGGAAGCTAGCCAAGAGCTGGGGAATGGTGAGTGACTTTGCTGACTTTAACCCTTTCAGGACGTCCCAACTCCAGGGTTTGGCTTTTAAGCCACATAGCACACTTTCTGGCTGCCTGTACCCCCATGAAATCAGAGCACATTTTTCCCTGACACCTAAGAGATAGGCTTGTCTCCAGCACTTGGTATCGGCAACCCCAGCAAGTAATATGCCAGCTGGATCAAGTGTGAGAAGGGACAGAGGCAAGAGACCTGCCTCAGGAGCTGCTAGCTTGAAGTAGCCAGATTGGAGGAACTTTTCAAGGAGATCTTTTCTGAGCTTTTCAACTGACAGCCCTGAGGCCCTTCATTAGGAGAGATCACGACTCACCTCCCATGGAGCTTTATATAGATCCATGGCCTCTGCCTGCTAGTTGACATGATTGTCTGTAATCTCAATGGATTTGACATTATTTGCCCTAAGTAGGTAGAAAACTCAGGTGCCAGAGGAGCATTGGAAGGCCATAGCAGAAATTCTCAGGCTCAAGAGCCCAGTGAGACCATCTCCTTCAGTATCCTGCCTTTAGGGAAGATCTCACCTAAAACATTTCAGTGTGGTTCATGAAAGAAGATGAAGGCAATAAGGACAGGATTGTTTTGTGCTACTTGGAAAGAAGATGCCTCAGGAATACTGGGAGATAGGACTGAAATTTTCAAATGTCAATGTGCTATTGATCTTTCAGCAAGCTGGGATAGGAGAAATAGTCATATAATAGGCTTTGCTTTATTTTCTCACCCTCACAGAAGAAACTCACACGTGAATGTGTTTTTCGGGAACAGTTTGAAGAAAACTGGTACAACACCTATGCTTCAACCTTATACAAACACTTGGACTCAGAGAGACAGTATTATGTGGCTTTGAATAAAGATGGCTCACCCCGTGAAGGATACAGGACTAAACGACACCAGAAATTCACTCACTTTTTGCCCAGGCCAGTAGATTCTTCTAAGTTGCCTTCCATGTCCAGAGATCTCTTCCGCTATAGGTAATGGACCCCTAGTGTGACCTCTGTGACCCCTGTACTCTAGGGCCACAGTTGTCTCTGTAAGCACTATACTCATAGCTTTTCAGTCCTCTTTCCTATCAATTTAGATAACAGAGAAGCACTTACTGTTCAACTCAACCCAGCTGTTCCCTTGTTCAAAGTGTATATCAAAATTGGGTTATTTGGGTGAGGGATGTGGGTGGAGGGGGTGGGCTACAGGGAATCTTGTATATACTTTTTCCTTTACTCATGTTCTTTTCCCCGAGGTGGCACGAGAAAGAATGGGGGATCCTGCCCAGGGCCAGGGGTATATTGCCCCACAATCTATCGAAATATTTTGACAATGGGTAAATGAAAGACCAAGGAATCTGCCACAGATGCTACATACAGAGCTTTGGGAAAGTCTCATTAAAATCCTTGGGGCTATGGCCCTGGTGCAGGTCATCCCAGCATTGGCTCTGGAGATTTCTCATCTGTCCCAACATGCAGGTTTCTTGCCATTGGAAGTGGGAGATGGGGTAGATTGTGAGGAAATGATATTAAAATGTAAGCATGGATACTGTGCATAAGGACAAACTATTTATGAAATGTATATGCTATTTATTTTATATATTTATTTATTTCAAAATAATTTTATTTTTAATGAGAGATGCTATGACTGGATTTTCATCAGAAAGAATAAGGTCCTACTGAAACAGGATAAATGAGTTATTAAAGGCTTTTATTGGCAATAAAATTTTATATTGTAACCATTGTCTATAATTCTATTGAGTTATATATTTAGTAGGATTAGAAGGTTGGTTACCTTCTTTCTCTCCGACTTATTAGACTCTCCTGATGTCAGCATCATGCTGCCTGGCCTAGATGACTTATGACCAACAATGCTAGCATTATTTAGGGGCCTTATCTGAAGTCCTTTCAGGTTCTATGAGTTTAAACTTAGTGATGAATCAAAGTTTCAGGAAGGCCTGGACCAATAGCTCTTACAGAAGCTCCTATTTGTGCTTAGGAGACATACACGAACCCTCCTTTGGGATTTGGTTAAGCCTCAATTCCTGAAGGTCAGAAACCCTAATTTGTGGCTTCTTACTTTAGATACAAAGATGAAGTGATTAAAAATAAACAGCAATTAGAAGGGACAGTTGAACCAGTCAACTTCCCTTCTAGAAGTGTTCTCCCACTCCCTTCAGTCCACACCCCATCCCCTGCCAGTCCTTCTAGAGAGTTCTGAAAATCTGTTAACACACTTCCCTAAAGAGATGGTTCTCAGAGTATATGGTCTCTTGACCAGTAGCAGCAGCTGCGAAACTGTTAGAAATGTAAATTATCAGGACCTACCCTAGGCCTACTAAACTCTGGGGTGTGGGACCTAGCAAACTGCATGTTAACAAGCCTTCCAGAAGATTCCTGTGCAGGATAAATTTTGAAACCCAGTGCCCTAAAGGAATGATTTTCAAAAAGAATTCTTTTTGCAACTGAATGGCTTATATATAAAGTTTTAGGATAACTTTAGTCCATAAAACAAAAGTATAGTTGCTCTAGTTCAACTGGAGATGGCATTCCTGGAATTCCCTTTTCTCTAGAGCAGCCCCTGATATATCTTGGTTTAAAATCTCTGGCCTCTTACATCCAGATGGCCAACAGGCACATGAAATGATGCTCAGCATCCCTCCTCATCAGGGAAATACAAATCAAAACCACACTGAGATACCACCTCACGCCTGTCAGAGTGGCTAAAATGAGCAAATCAGAGAACTCTAGATGCTGGCGAGGATGTGGAGAAACAGGCACCCTCCTACACTGTTGGTGGGAATGTAAACTGGTGCAGCCCCTCTGGAAAACAGTGTGGAGATTCCTCAAAAAATTAACAATAGAACTCCCCTATGACCCAGCAATAGCACTGCTAGGAATTTACCCAAGGGATATAGGAATGCTGATGCATAGGAGTAGATGGACCCCAATGTTCATAGCAGCACTCTCAACAATAGCCAAAACATGGAAAGAGCCTACGTGTCCATCAACGGAAGAATGGATCAAGAAGATGTGGTTTATCTATACGATGGAATACTACATGGTAATGAGAAAGAATGAAATCTGGCCATATGTAGCAACATGGATGGACCTTGAGGGTGTTATGCTGAGTGAAATAAGTCAGGCAGAGAAGGACAAATACCATATGTTTGCACGTATAGGAGGATTAGGAGGAACTTAACAGAGGATCATGGGGGAGAAGAAGGGAGGAAATAGTCGGGGAAAGGGAGAGAGGCAAACCATGAGAGACTCTTGAATGCTGAGAACAAACTGAGGACTGATGGCTGTGGGGGGGGGGAGCGGGGAGATGGGTATGGAGGAGGGCACTTTTGGGGATGAGCACTGGGTGTTATATGGAAGCCAACTTGACGATAAACTATTTGTAAAAAAAAAATAATAAAATGGCTAATAAAACATTTGCATATTTAAAAAAATAAATAAAATTCAATGCCATTCACACATATTGAGAACATGAAGTTCTCAATAAATATGCTCTGAACAAATGAATAAATGGTGGAAATAAAAAAAAAAAAAAAACAAGTGTTGGAAAAAAAGGAACCCTCATGCACCGTTGGTGGGAATGCAAACTGATGCAGCCACTGTGGAAAACAGTATGGAGGCTCCTCAAAAAATTGAAATGTAACTACCATATCATCCAGTAATTGCACTACTGAGTATTTATCCAAACAATATAAAAATACTAATTCAAAAGGATATATGCGGGGCACCTGGGTGGCTCAGCTGGTTAAGCGTCTGACTTCGGCTCAGGTCATGATCTCGCAGTTTGTGAGTTTGAGCCCTGCATTCGGCTCTGTGCTGACAGCTCAGAGCCTGGAGCCTCCTTCAGATTCTGTGTCTCCATCTCTCTCCCTTTCCCATGCTCGTGCTCTCTCTCTCTGTCTCTCAATAATAAATAAAAATGTTTAAAAATTTTTTTAAAAAGGATATATGCATCCCTATGTTTATTACAGCGTTATTTATAATAGCCAAATTGTGGAAGCAGACACGAAATGATAAAAAAGATGTGAGATTACACACACACACACACACACACTGGAATATTATTCAGCCATAATAAGTGAACTGTTGCCATTTGTAATAACATGGATGGACCCAGAAAGTATAATGTTAAGCAAAATCTGTCAGTCACAGTAAGACAAATACCTTATAATTTCACTCATATGTGGAATCTAAGAAACAAAACAAATGCATGAAGAAAAAAAAAAGAAAGACAAACCAAGAAACAGACTCAACTACAGAGAACAAACTGACGGTTACCAGAATGGAGATGTGTGGGGGAGAGGTGAAATAGGTGAAGAGGATTAAGAGTACATTTAATTTGATGAGCACTGAGTAATATACAGAGTAGTTGAGTCACTGTATTGTACACCTGTAGCTAATTTAACACTGTATGTTAACTCTATTGGAATGAGGGAGGAAGGAAGGAAGGAAGGAAGGAAGGAAGGAAGGAAGGAAGGAAGGAAGGAAGGAAGAAAGGAAGAAAGGAAGAAAGGAAGAAAGGAAGGAAGGAAGGAAGGAAGGAAGGAAGGAAGAAAGAAAGAAAGAAAGAAAGAAAGAAAGAAAGAAAGAAAGAAAGAAAGAAAGAAAGAAAGAAAGAAAGAAAGGAAGGAAGGAAGGAAGGAAGAAAGAAAGAGAAAGAGAGAAAGAGGGGAAAAAAGAAAGAAGGGAAGGAAGGAGTGGAATAGGGAAGATGGTGGAGTAGGAGTACCCTAAGTTCACCCTGTCCCACATTTACAACTAGATATCACTCATATCCATGTAAATAAACCAGAGAGTGATTCAAAGACTTGAAGAACAGGGGCGCCTGGGTGGTTCAGTCAGTTAAGCGTCTGACTTTGGCTCAGGTCATGATCTTGTGGTTCACAGGTTCAGGCGCCATATCAGGCTCTGTGCTAACAGCTCAGAGCCTGAAACCTGTTTCAGATTCTGAGTCTCCCTCTCTTTCTTTGCCTCCCTTGCTCATTCTCTCTCTCTCTCTCTGTCTCTCAGAAATAAATAAAACGTAAAGAAAAAAAAGACTTGAAGAACAAACTCCACAACTAAATTTAAAGAAGAAGTCACATCTGAGGGATTGGAAGGGTAGAAACAGTGGTCATGAGCTTCCTGTAGGAGGGACGGAGCTGCAGTTACAAAGAGGGGAAAGAAATGGTTTCTCTCACATACAGAAGATGAATCTCTGTAATATCCATCTTTGAAAACCAGAGGGGCTGCATTCTGTGAGATTGTATAACCAGCAGGACTTGGAGCTTAGAGCTTTAAAAATCAGCTTACTCAGCAGTTGGCAAGCCCAGAGGGCAAGATGAGTGGGTCCCCACCCTTAAAGAGATGGCTGCTCTCAGAAAGGCAACATAGAAACAGCAGTTTTCACAACACTTGGGACAAAAGAGAAAAAGATCTGTTTATATTGGCTTTAGAATGTGTTGAGGGACTTCTCCAGGGATATAGGAGATGGCAGGTACCAATTTCCTCCCCCACTCCCTCCATAAACAGAGCCACCTGTCAGGGGCAGCACTGCACAGACACTTGCTATCTAACCTGCTAGCAGTGTGTACCACCCATACATTCTCCTGAGGACTTGCCCACTCCAAGGCAGCTGGCCTCAGCCCTGGGATAACCACAGATTATGCTAACACCCCCACCCTGCCACTAGCGGTCTTGTGGTCACACCTCCTTAGAGCCAGCCAGCCTGGGTCTCACTAACACCACAGAGAGCAAGCACAACCACAACAGGCAGAGAATCAGTGCAGACAACTGGACTGAAAGAAAAAGAAACTGAGACACAACAGCAGGATGCAAGCAACACATATAGGAGACTATACTGAAATGCCAGTATCTGATAAACAGAGGATACTGCACTGCAGGGGACTATAGGAACTCTTCCTCATAAAGCCACTACTTTTAAGAGTAGAAGACTTAGCTGACTTTCCTAACACAGAGAAACAGACAGATGTA